ACTCATAGACAATATCTTTACTAACAATTTTTCAAAATATAACACTCAAAGTGGGATTATATAAACCGATGCAAGTGATTACTTCCCAATCTTTTTTACTGGTAATTCAACAAAATTATATATATAACTAAAAGGGAAGTAAATAAAAATAGTATTAAAATTTTTCGCGGTCATTTATTGCAAATAAACTGGGAAAAACATATTAACTACAAAGACGCAAATAAATTTCATAAACGTTTTATCTGTGAGTTCAGTAATGCATATGAAAAGCATTTTCAAAGCAAGAAAAAAGAGTCAAGCTCAAAAATTTACAAAGTCCATGGATTTTGCAAGCCCTCATCAAATATTCCGAGAAAAAACAAAAACTCTACGAAAAACACTAAAAAAAAAACTTACAAAAATGAAAAAAAAAATACAAAAGTTATAAAAACCTTTTTGAAAAACTTAAGAAACAAGCTAAAAAAAAATTCAAATCTTTTATAAAATTATATTGGTAATAATAAAAAAACAAGGGATGTTATAAAAGAAGTAATAGGAACGGAAAAGATTGATTCAGGTAATATTCTATCAAATCTTTTAAATACCAAAACATTGTTATTAATGATCAAAAACATTGTTATTAATGATCAAATATTGCTGAAAGCTTTAACAATTATTTTACAAACATTGGAAACACACTTGCCAATAAAGTAACTCAAAGTAAAAAAAAAAATTTAAGTCATATTTAAAAGAAGTGGACTCTGTAATAAACGAGTCTGACTTATCTTCTGATGAGCTTCGAGATGCATTAAAAACAATAGATCACTTACAGTCAAAAAAAAGTCCAGGCCTTGATGACGTAAGCTCTGAGGTAGTTAAAGAAGTTTATGATATCATTGAATATCTCCTACTGCATATCTTTAATCTCTCGTTAATAAGGGGAGTTTTTCTTAACATTCAAAATTAGCACACGTAGTTCCAATATTTAAAAACGGAGATAAATCTACTTTGTCGAACTATAGACCTATCTCCATACTTTCATGCTTCTCAAAAGAACTAGAGCGCATATAGTAAAACAGACTTTTTACATACCTTCGAAATCACATTATCCTTTTTAATAACCAATTCGGATTTTAAAAAAACCGTTCAATTGAACATGCAGTAATAAAGTTAGTTAACGAAATTTTAAATGGGTTTGATAAAAATCAATATACACTTAGAATATTCATCGATTTGTCAATGGCTTTCAATACAGTGAATTACGAGATCCTTCTTTGCAAACATAGTAATTATGGTATGAAAAATTAAAATTTAAAATGGTTTAGCTGCCATCTAAACAATCAGAAACAAACTTTATATTACAATAAAACTCCCATTGAAACCATTATTTGTAGCGCTCCCCAGGGATCTATTCTAGGTCCTTTGCTTTTTCTCATTAATATTAACGACATATTTTTATCTTTTTGAATACTGAAATTTATTCTTTTTGCAGAAAGGGGGCGATGGGAGATCCCATCCTTACCCTTAGATGTTATGAAAATAATTTTTTTAAAGGTTACATATTTAACCAACCAATTGCTAGAAAACGGAAGCAAATTAGGGAAGCTATTTAAATGTTATAAAAGTTTTTAACAAGTTTCTGTGGGGCAAAAAAATTGTACTAATGGGATATCAATATATAATAAAATTTTTACAATACCACTTTACATGCATACATAAATACTCGCATGTATGTGTATCAATGTATGAATGTACATAAGTTCATAATATATAATTTTATTCAAAAAAATAAAAGAAGGAGATGCAGATCTTTATTAAGGGGCTACCCCTCTGTTTTTAAATCTAAGTATTTTAAAAAAAAAATGTTATGGGTTTCTAGGTTTTAGTAAAATATAAACCTTTTTGAAAAAAAAAATTAAAAAAAAATTGGTGGTTTCCTTGGCAACCAAAAAATATCCCTAAAATGACCAAAAAATAACTTCACGCTGGCCAAAATATAAGAATATGTGTACATATTTACCTTTTAAAATTTTAATACAATATTATCATAAAGTAGGGCTGTGAAATGAATGGATCAGATTTTTCATAACATTTTGTCATCATCAAAATGGCGCAATCAAAGATCATGGTCAAAATTTTCATCAATTTTAGGTCATATATATATATATTTTTAATAAAATAAATAAATTCCAATCCATTCATTTCACAGAGTATAATATGATAAACACTTCCTGAAAATTTCATACAAAAATGTAATACGGTTCTCCAGATAATTTGGCCGGCGTGCACAAATTTCTATTTTGAGAAAAAGACAATTTAAGTTAAAATTTTTGAAAACAATACAATTTTTTTCATAAAAACTGTTGAAAAATAAAAAAAGTTTTCAAAATCCACCAGGAACATACAAGTCACCTTCTTTTTCAATTATTTTCTCCTTCTTCTTCAGTTTCTTGGCACGTAATACTTGCCTTCTTAACTTTTTAACAGGGTTCATTCTAATTTCTGCTTTTTGTAATCTTTTATTATTTAATGATTTGCATCCTGCAATCATATGAAAGCCTGGTTCCATGTCCAGTTGCTTCAAAATATCAATAGATGCTTTTGCTCCAATATTAAAATTGGCAACAGCATCATATACGCCAATTGTTAATTTGGTAAGTGATACAAATGTATGTTTTGGTATACGCTTCCAAATCATTCCATAAAAAGACTCATTGGCATTTTGTGTCTTACCGCGCAAGCATTTATGTAACTCAATGTCTTTCCTTAAATCCTTAAATATAGTTCTTACTTTCATTATGACATCCATTGGTAAACCTGGTTCCGGCTTATAGGTTGATGTCTTATTTATTTTATTGGCATTGTATTTGCACCAGCTGTCTGCACCAGTGAGGCAGTGTGGGAAATGTAAGCTATTATTTTTTGAGGAAGTAACATGAAATAGTGATGCCAACACCAGTTAGATCAGATTTTTGGAGGCTTTGAGTTAAATTACAACCTTTACAATATCTGGACATGATTTCAACATTTAAAATTTTGCCACTAGCAGTAGAGATGGCAGAAAAGACTCCGTTGAGTGATGAGTATCCTTGTTTTTGCCATGTTCCATCGCAAGATAAACAAATATCGGTTACTTTCAAAGCTGTATTTTGCAATTTTTTAGCAGCATTTAACATTGTTTGTTCTGCTACATTTTTAACAGCTTTTGAAATTACTTTTATCAGTTTTTCAAAATTGTTTTTGGTCATTGGCTTAGGTAGATTCATAATGGTACAAAATTTTTTGATGCCTGCATATCCATGACCCAATAATCGCATACAATAAATTACTTGTTTATTGATATCAAATCCTTTTATATTTGTCATAGTTAGAAGTGTAGAACTTTTGAAAATAGTTACAAGCTCTTTTCATACACTTCAGATATAGTAAGGATGATAAACCACGTCGTTGAGTATATCTCCCACTTAGTGAGAGTGTTGAACAACCACATTCTGGACACAGAACAAAACTTAAAATAGACAGTAAAACAGCAACATAAATTATACGATAACCAGATATGGCAGGTTTTGAAATAATTTTATCTTTTAAGTTTTATGAGCTGAAGCTGATAAATTAGGTGGATTTTCAAAAATTGGTTCAGTAACACAAGTGATGTTAGGGGCACTTGGATTTATTGTCGGCAATTTGATATTAGTACTATCAGATACAATAACAGTATTAACAGAATTTTAAACATTTCCCATAAACCTTTTCCTTTTTTTATGAGTTTGTGTACATTTCTTAACTCGACAAGCTTTTCCCATTTTTACTAATTAAACTAACCTAATAAAATCTCAAGAACTGACTGAACTGAAGAATATTGTCGTACTTGATGTACCAAGGTATTGGTAAATTCCATAAAAACGCATCAAGAAGTTGTTCAAGCTTATGCATTGCAAGTGTAACACTATTTTGAATGAAATTAAGGTAAAAGTATGGTGTATAAAATTGTTTAAGTGCGTTGCTATGGCGTTGCTAAGGAAATTATTTAAGAGGTGGTTAACTTAAATAGACAATTTAAGATAGTTAAAGATTAATCTGATACATCCAAAACGAATTTTATGATTCTGCATAGTTTGAAAGAGTTAAAATTAATAAAAAAAAAAAATTGAAAATTTTGAAATTTTATGGGGGGATAGCCCCTTAATACCTAAAACTATAAATACATGGTTGTTATTAAAAAATATTTTCGTAGTTAAAGACTGGAGCGATTAATGAAAATTAATCGCTCCAGTCTTTAACAACGAAAATATTCACGAAAAAAAATCGCTCCAGATTAATTTAAACTTTAAAATTTTTAATGCGCTTGGGTATAAAAACTTGCCGCTTCTAAACGACAGTGCAAACAAAACAAACAAACATCTTTTATTCTTCCTAATTTACGAAATTGTTACTGTCTGTAACTACAATGAATTTTTAATATTTTTTTCGTAAAAAAAGCAGTGTAAAGTTTATTTTACTATTTAGTTTACTATTTGCTAGTTTTTTTATATATGATATTTTATATATGATTAAAAAAACATCAAACTTCTAATGCATAGTTTTAATAATTTGTTTTTAAAATAAAAACATAACAGATCTTTTTATTCTTTAGGTCAGAACTTGCCTTATTGAATATATTTTTCTTCCTTACTTTAATTTTGTTTGATTTTAGATAGAATGCAACAAAATTTGTTATTTATTGCATGGTTTAAAAAAAAATTTATACACAAATATCAAATAATCTAAATAATATCAAATATCTAATATCACAAAATAAATATCACAAATATATAAAATGTTAAAAGTCTTTTAAAAATTTTCAGAAATATCTTAAATGCAATTGCAGAAAATATGCACATAAGGTATAGAAGAGAAACTATAAACAAAGGAAAAAGAAATTACAATCAAAAATTAGAAACATTTACCAAAATTAGGAATTAATAAATCATAAATCACAAACAGATAAAAAATAATCAAGAACCATTAACATTCAATATACCATAAATAGAAAATATATAATATATGAAAAATATATAAAATACATTATTTTATTTTTTTGGTTGACTTTCACTCACTCTCATCATTGAAATTGCATAAATTCCACAAACTGCTGAAAATAAAGTTGCTATAACAGATACTATGAAGGACCAACCATATTTGTAGAAATTGTGTTTTGTGCGATGATTCATTGCAGCAAACACTATGATTGTAATCAGCATGCATACCCCTTGAAAGTAAAAATAAAATTAACGGTTATTAGAAGAAGTTATTTAAAAAAAAAATACTTTAAACATAGTTAATAAATGATATGAAATATTATGATATAAAACTTTTATATTACTTCCAAAACCGTAAAAAATATTAAATCCGCTGAAACAGAATTATGGAAGTTTTATTCTATTTAGTCATTTATAATTAAATATAAACAAGTTCTTGTATGATAAAAAGAAAACATAAATTGGCGCGGTTAATCGATTTCAAATTTTTTATACTGCTTAATTTCGGTACCAGTTGTTTTATTTTTATTTGACCAATCAGAAGTTTTTAAAATTTAAGTTCGTTCAGCGATAGCTATAAGAATAATTGCTATATATAAGTATCTAACTTTAAATTTAAAGATGGTTTACTATACCTTATATTTCTATTAGCAAAATCTGAACATAAGCTCTAAAAGTTTTGAGCAAGACTCGATCAAGACAAACCACGGTTATTTAAACTTATTTGATTAATACTTATAACACTTAATGACTTCTAAATCTTGCCTTGTAAATCTATCCACTAAGGTATCTAAAAAGTGTTGCAAAATATTACAACACACTTACCAGAACAAAAACATGTAGCAGCCAGCAAATCAAAGCGTTTAGTGGGTTTTAACATTATAGCCAATGTAAGTATTACCGCAGAAAATTGAAGTAAACAAGATATAATTGACATAGCGCGGCAACAACGTAACCAATCTAAGTAAAAAAAAAAAAAAGTCCGTATTCCACAAAAATGGCAAAACAGTTAATATACCAAATATAAAAAGAACAAATAATTTAACTTACCGCTTGTGTCTGTGTAAGACTGGCATTCTTTTTTATTAGATACAAAAATTGTGCATTCGATAAATAATCCAACGGTTCGTTCTTTAGTGTCACCCGGATTGTTTAAAGTGTTAAATTCTCGAACCGCCCAAGAATTAGTTACCGTGACTATTAGGTCAATAACGAGTGTCATTAAGCAAATGCACAGTTGTAAACTGATGTTGTTTTTAAGTTTGTTAAATACTTTCATATTCATTTCTTAAGCTTTTATTATTAATAAGTAAGTGATTAAAAAACATATTCAAAATAATTAACTAAAACTAAACAAATTAAAAATAAATAGTTTAAATTTAAGTTACCTGCAACATAATAAAAGTCGTCAGCACCGTATTAAACTTTGTCAGTAGGTTTTTAAGGTCACGCACCAAAACGTTTGTCGCTTTAATGTTTGCATTTAGAAAGCGGCGTAAAAAGGTAAAATGTTTGATACTTTGAACAAAAAAAAATTACAGCGAGAGCGCGTTTTTTAAGTAATAACTATTCAACGATAACCTTTTGATCGATTTGTCTTAATTTTAAAATTTTAGAAAACGTTTCTTTATGTTTCGTTTGTCATTTTTTAATGACAATATTTTAACGATAAAATTTTTATCACTTTTAAACTTTTCTCTTTATTATATTATTTAAAAACAATAAAAGTACATAATAAATATACAAAAAAATATTTAAAAAAAGCAAATAAAAAAATTGTTATCGCAATGTTTTTACCTTTTTAACTATACCAAACTTTTTTTTTTAAATAAAAATATATATTACGCTTCTATTTTAACCAAGAAATATATTTAAAAATCAATTAAACATTATTTTCTGATTTTTTTCAAAGCATTTTGAAAGGAAACATGTTCATTCCCGTAAACGATTTTCGTTTGGAGCAAATATTTGATTTTGTATTAATTACTGAAAAGGTAAAACTTCTGAATACATACGATTACTCAAATAACACATTATTGAAAAGATAAAATAAACTTTTTTGTTAATTAAATTTCAGGTTTAAATTTAAAGTCGCCATTTTAAAAATAAAATTTTAAAGTTAACTGAACAGCGCAATGCAAACATATTGTCTATAAGTTTAACTAAAACTATGTATATTTTTTTCCATCATTCATTCATTCAGAGGAGTAACTGGGTTTTTGACGCCATCGGCTAATTTATTTTTAACGCCCTTGACAAATTTAAAGATTTTAGCTTTGTAACTATTTCAATTGTTAGAAAATAATAACTGAAATTTTCTTATTATATTTATAACGATAAATACGTAGTAGTGTTAACGACAAACATTTCATTTGGATATCCAAAATGCAAAAGACAGAAACAATACTACTTTACAGTGTTTTATTTATTAAATAATACTTAATAAACTGGAGGATAAAACTGGCTATCGTTGCGTTAATACAGACTACCTAATGTAGCAACATTGTGAGTATGACACTTTGACGCATTGATATTGTCAATGTGTCATACTCATTAACTCATGCATAATTAACTGACTCAAAGTATAAATTTAATTAAAATTACAACCCCCCTCCTGTCTTACAACAAAAACTTGAAACTTAACTACTCTTGCTTTAATGTTTGCAAAATTGGTAACTATTTCAGAAGTTTGTTTAACTGGTCTAACTTCAGATGAAAAGAAGAGCTAGATATTATGTGCGCTGTTGATTTGACGATCTCTAGTAGCTTTAAAATAACTTTTTATTTACAAGCAGTATGTATATATATATATATATATATATATATATATATATATATATATATATATATATATATATATATATATATATATATATATATATATATATATATATATATATATATATATATATATATATATATATATATATATATATATATATATATATATATATATATATAAAACAGGTGTTCAATAAAACCTATTGAAATTTGTAAATAGCTTCTATAAGTTTTTAAGCTACAAAATAAAAAGATATCAATCAATTATTTCTGATATTTCCAGTTCGAGGACGATTTGACTTGGAAACTCATCCTTAAATTAGAAAATACTCCAAAAATCATCAATTAAACGTTATTCTGGTAAGTTATACTCATTCCAAGCCTCTATTATTTAAAATGAAAGTTTTTAATATATATGAGACTAATATTTATAATATTCTTTGTTTTATGTTTAAATGTAAAACCAATTCATCGCCGATTTCTTTCCATAATTTTTACTCATCAAAAGATAAAAATAAGTACATTTTACGCAATGATAATTTTATTAAGCAGCCCATTTTTTATACAAATCTTTTTAAATTTTGTATTGATTATCGCGGAATATACTAACAGAATAAAATAGTTTAAAAATTTTTTTAAGAAGGATATATACATCAAAGTACTTTTCTTTTAAATGAAAGCTTAAAGAACTCACTTTTAAAATCGAAAATTAACAATATTCTTCTGATATTTTTTAGTGACCCTCCTTTTTAACCACTATTTAAACATAAATTTATAAAAAATTATATACGTATCATTAGTAACTATAATCTACATATATAACAGATATAACGCATCTTGTATTTATAATGAATATTTAAGTTTTTTATTTCGTTACTTATTCTTTATCTTGTGAATATCTTATAAATTTTAACACGACCATTTCTTAGCGGTACTCGGCGACAAAAACTTTTATTTTTTAACAACGATAATTATATATATATATACTTTTTTATTATTATACTTTTGTATTTTAAATATTGTAATGAAATGCTTATTTAAAATTAAATTAAAAAAAAAAACAAAAAAAAACAACAAAGTTTAGCTGGTTATCTACATTGGCCACATAACTTAGAGAAATCTTTTCAAAAAATAAAGTTACTGTTTTTGCATAATGCCATGAAACGATGTTAGCCAAAATAGGCATTAATCATCAATTATATTAGTCCATTGGACACAGAACGTCCGCTGGACGTCTATAGATGTTCTAATGGACTTTTTGATTTTATTATCCACGTTAAGATTTTGACTTACTGCAAGACCGCTGTGGACAAAGCATGGTTTTAACACCCCTTTATCAGAACAAGACAAGTTTTTTTTTAGTAAAACTTAGTAATTTTTCTATATTTCACCCGCGCAAGAGTTTGTTCAATATTACTTGAGTAAAAAATATTATTGCTAATGACAATGCTGTGAGCCAAAGAGAAACAAAGTTCATCGTCAATGATACACAATATTCCTTAAAAAATTTCGCTATTGACAATCACAACTGTTGCAAATTCTTTTTTTCTGGTCATTTTTTTCGCATTCTCGTATCTTTTCCATATTATGATAACTGATGCTTGTTTTTTTTATAACGATTAATTAGCGGCATAACTTTATAATAACGATTAATTAGCGGCATAACTTTATAAAACTCGATTATAGTGAGTAAAAACAATTTTGCGGCGCTTGAATAATTTTTGTTTATTTTTCTGGAAACACACTACTTCCTTTAACATTTTTATATTCAAAGCTATTTCCATCATTCTATTTCAAAGTGGTCAAATTTAAACATTTCAAAGGTGTTTAACCCTTAAAGGTGAACTTTTCCTAAGAACAACGTTTTTAATAAAATCTTAAAGTTACGTTCGATTAGTTTTTGCTTTAAAATATTTTTTTCAACAATACCTAAAAATGTACAACATTTTTAGGTATTGTGGTTTATCATCCTCCGGTTAATTGCCATACACAAGCCACTTTACCAGGGCCCACAAAGACGATTTCCGCTCACTAAAGAGCATCATAACCCGCTTAGCAGACCAAGAGTAAGTTAGTTTAAGAAGAACAAAGGATAATAAAGTGAAAGTCAGAAGAAATCGAGTTAGAGAAATAGCATAGAGAATACGGACAGATATTGCACTGATATAAGAATGTGCAACTTATTAATACCTTATATTATATATTACAAGATATTAATTTTTCTTAAAATGTTCAATTTTTTTTTTGTATTGTGACTTATTTGGTTATCTGGCTATTTACCATATTAACCCTTGTAAAAAAAATTTACAAATAATCCATAAAAATTAGGGATGTACTGGAATTCCGTTCCCGCCGGAATTAAAATTTTTCAGGCTGGAACGCTGGAATTTATTTTAATCTTTATTTTATAAGACATGTGACTCAGATTTTATAAATTAAATCAAAAAACCATTGTCCTACAGGTAAATCTAGGTAAAAAATACAAAATTCTTAACAAAAACTATGTAATTTTATTTGCAGTAATCATTTATGTAAGGATTATTAGAAGTTTAGGATTATTGTAGTGCAAAATGATTTGCTACCTAGTTTTGGGCAACAAAATAATATATATATATATATATATATATATATATATATATATATATATATAAAAACAAAAAAAAAAAAAATCAAAAAAAAAATTTGATGTATGTGACTGGATGTATCTGCAAATATTGTATGTATGATACTTTTGGAAGTTAATCATCTTTTGACAGTGGTTTAGCATTTTTGTCGGCGAAAGCGTTAACGTAAATGCACCAACATTTTATAATTATGACTTCTCACACAATGACACCATCATTTGGCTATCTAAATTCTTCTACACAATCTTTTGGACAATCTTGAAGTGCATTTGGATGTACCTAGTGCAATCATATTCTTATTATTTTCGTTTATTTATTAATTAATTAACAATTAAGATCAGTGTAACTGATAGATTTGAGTAACAAGAATCAGTGATCGAGTCAGATGCGAGACGTATTTATTTATTAAGAATACTATGATATTATTGTTTTCGCTTGAATCATCCGGTTCAGAAAAATTAGTACTTTAATTCCAGCCATAAAGACCATAACTTAAAAAAGTTAAAAACTTGTGTTTATTTATTTTTGTTTTTCCTAAAATCTAAACTAAGATCAAAGTTCTTCAACAGCGGTTTTCGGTGACAAGACCTGTATGGTCTTCTTTGAGTATCCGCGTTCTTTATCTTAATTCTTCATTTTTTTGTAACGATTTTTTTGCATGTAAATTTTTCTTATTATATATTTGTAAATATTGTATTAAATATTGTAATAAAGAACAAAAAAAAAAAAAAAAAAAAAAAAAAAAAAAAAAAAAAAAATATACATATATATATATATATAAATATATATTATAGGTTATAGGTTATAAATATATATTAAGTAGGTACAGGCTATATATATATATGTATATATATATATATATATATATATATATATATATATATATATATATATATATATATATATATATATATATATATATATATATATATATATATATATAGATTATAGATATATATTAAGTAGGTACAGGGTTTGAGATACAGGCTTTCACTTTTAGTCTTAAAGGTAAAGAATTACATAAGGAGTCGTCCATAAAATACGTACGCCTATTATTTCAACATCCCCCCACCTCATCCAATTCATTTTGCTATACGCTTTTTTGAGTATCCCTCACTTCTAAAGAAAAAAAAAAGAAAACTAATAAAGCCAAATAATCGCGTGCTTTTTCTATCAAATTAAATTATCTATTGAAAATAGTCTTCATTTTGTTCTCTTTAATGTTTCCTTTTTTTAAAAAATTTTATTATCTTTGATAATCTAGTTATTTTTTTAATCTAGATTATTTAGGATTTTACATCCGATTATTGCCTCATTACGATTATTTTCGTTTTTAATAAAGTTTTACATTAAATAGCATTAAAAAATATATTAAAAAAAAGATAAAGATAAAAAATCAAAGTATGTAAAACCAACGCCGTTTTTCCTTTCAGAAAAGTCTTTATTTTAGAAAGTTTTTGGTTTATTGTTTCGACGCTCTTTCGTCGTCGGTTTTTTTTTTATTGGCGTTTGAGGGTGTATCTGTTTTCTATTGTTTTCATTGTTTAATATCGTGATCTCCATCACCGAATTGCTACCAAAGTCGCTTTCGCTTGAAGTTACGCCGTATTTTCTTCTTCTGACTGTTTTTGGATCTTTTTTCTTTTGTGATTTAGATTTAACTTGAGTAAAGAGGCTGAAAATCTACGATAGTAAAAATTTCAACAGGGTGAGGTAATTTTTCTTGCTCTTACTTTCTCGCTTCAAATCTGATTGGTATTCTATTTGAATAGCTTTAATTTTATTTTTTACCTCCCTTAGTAGGGCAAGACTCTCTATATCTAAAAATCAAAGTTGTTTTTATTTTTTGAATGAATAAAATCATTTACTTTTCCTCTTGTTAATACTTGATTTGAAGTAAAAGGTGTTGGAGCAGTGAATTGAAACACGGGTTATTTTTTTTGACAAAGTTTCTTCTTTATTTTCTTGAATTTTATTACTTTTATCGTTTGTAGGTATATTATTCTCGATTGTGTAGTTTTGCGATCTAATTTTAGGAGCTGAATTTATAAGTCTTTATCTCGATACATGGGTATTGTTACAGTTTCTTCATAAAAACTCCTTTCCAGCAAAGTTTAATACAATCTTCACACCAATTTATTTCAATATGGTGTGGTATGTCTCTGACCACAACTTTAAATATGACTCTAAACAATCGTCTACCATCTTCGATTGATTTATCAAAATCATATATTGTATGTTTTCCAGAAATAATGTTTTCAATATACGGCGTTAACTTTTCAGGTAGTTCGTTGTCTGTAATTGTAGGGTCATACTTGATCGTTATGAGAAAACCATAATCTTCTCTTTTTGTGAAGACTACAGGAATAATACATTCGGTTATATCAATTTCATTTTTGTTATTGCGTTAGCATCATTTATTGATTTAAACACTGCAATCCATTGTCCATTTTTATGGTAGGTTAGACTCTCTAGTTTATTTTTACCAACTTTTTCAGTAATTTTGTCAACAATTTCTTTCGGTCTACCGTTCATATATATTTTGATAACCAATCTGCTCGTTATCCATGAATATTTTAAATACTACTATTATGTCTCGAATCTACTCAGCATTTGAAGCAACTTTTGCGATAGACGCCATTTTGTTTTTAAAACCTTGAAGAAAAAGCACGTCCGCAATTTTTGTAATTTATTTTCATATGCAAGTTATTTTTTAAATATACAATTTTTTTACAAAACGTAACAAATAGAAAGATGTATTAAATTTGTAACAAAATATGTAGCATCTAGTAGGAAGAAAAGTTGTGGGTAGAACTTTTTTTGACAACGCCGATTTGGCGTCACTCTCCTACGTTAGGTTGCTTCCGTTTTGTTTTCTAAAAAACTACTTTAAAATTGGATAAAAAAGCACACAAATTTAATCTTTTACAATACTATTACAAACTTATTTTTTTTCCCAATAAACTCCTGTATTTCTATTAAATGTCAAAATAACGTTTAGACAAAACGTTTAGTTTTGTCCATTTAGAATGAAATCCAGAATAACGTTTAGAACAAACGTCTATTAATAGCGTTAAAAGTTTCCGGGAAAATTCGCTCAAAATTTCCGGAAATTTTCAATATTTTTTTAATTGAAATTAGTGTTGTTACGACTATTAAATAATTTGACTATCGACTGAATCGATTAATATATTTTTAAAACCGACTAAGTCGACTAAAAGTCGATTTAGTCGAAGTATTGGAATTATTATTTTTTTTTGAAATGCATAGTAATAAAAATAATAAAGTAATTTATATTGGCTTTCTGTTTTTTTAATATAAAATCATTAAATTAATAATAATGGAGCAAATCAATATGAGAGAAAGGCAACTCCGGCAACGGGGCAATCAATTCCCAGACCCCAACGATTTAGAGACCATCTTAAATACCTCAATACTATCAAAAAGTCATTACCCAGCGGGCATTTGTTTTTAAAAGTTACGTTCTAAATTTATTTTAAATGTCTTTTAAACGTCTTTTAAACATTCTTACGTAAAGAACGTTTAAAAGACATTCAAAAAACGTTTAGAAGACATTTAGAACGTAACTTTAAAAAAAAAATGCCGACAGGGTACAATATAGATGTATAGATGTATTTAAACTTTGGAGCTTCACAATTTAAATTTGCCTCAGAGCTCCAAGCCAGCTTGGTTTGGCCCTGTATTATGAAAATCATAAGCATCGAGTTAACAAAAGAAAAAAAAATTAATGTAATACATAATCAAAAGCTTATTTAGGTATAAATAATGCTTACATGTTTTGAATTAGATAAAACTTTGAGAGAATAAACAAAAAACTAAGTCATAGCTATAATTAAACATACTATTGTTATTAAATCAGCATCAAAAATTAAAGATTGAAAAGTTAAATTGAATAAAAATATATTAGTATTATGACATTTTTACTCGACTAAATTGACTTTAATCAATAAGTAGAAAGTCCATAATCGAATAAATCGACTATTCAGATATTTTTCTGAATAGTCGATTTAATCGATTATGGACTTTCCACTTATTGACTAAAGTCTATCTAATAGATATATCTATTAGACGCCGAGATACAAACGTATGTTTTTACACGTTTATTTAACGAATAAAAGCGTTTAGATTCAAACGTATATAAAGCATTTAAATTTAAACCAATATTTAAGGTTTTTAAATTCGCATAATTAATAAAACTTGTAACAAACTTTCACTTATGTTCTGTTCCTGGATGGAAAGTGTATTTTCCTATCCCGTTAGGTCTAGAATAGAAAGGAAACCGCTGTTATTTTAGAAAAACTTACTTTGTTTCTGTGACCGGGACAACGAAGTTTGGAAAATTGCGTGTTTTCGAGAAAATTTTCAATTTCTTTTCAATGCCGAGTTTTCTCCTAAAATATTCATGAACAAATAGAGTTGTCCAGATGTTTTTAAAATTCTCCTAAACACTCTAGAACAATCAAGAAACTTCCAAAACTTTCGAGAAACTCTCAGAGTTTTCTAGAACGTTCTTGAAAGCTTAAAAATAATCTATAAAAGTATAAAAGCACAGATGTCTTGAACTATGATTCCAATTCGTGTTATTGTAGACTGAAAGGATACTTTTTGTAGTTGAAAAAAAGCTATTTATTTTATGTTGCATCAAGAGGTTGTTTGCACCCAGCTGATTCATTCTGCTACGTGTGCGGACAGTTTATAAAGGCAAGAGCAAAAAAGTTTACAAGGTAAACTTCGGGGTGTCGGTCGGGGACAAAGACAAATCTAAGGCACCGCGTTTCACATGCAAATATTGCAAGAAAAAACTAAACAAAGAAAAAATTGCAAGAAGGTAAACTAAACAGTTGCTTCTTGCTTAGATGTGTTTTAATTTATTTTCATAAAATTTCAATGCTTTAGATCTTGTTTATTTGAAGGAGTTGTAATTTATAAAGTTTTGCTTTAAGTTGTGAACTGTAGGCAAATACATTCTATCTTGAAATCGTTTTATATTTTGAAATTTCCTGCCCTCAGATTAATATAAATCCTATATATTATTATGCGCTATTTTACAGGTTGGTACAGAGGAGAGAAGCGAGCCACGAAGTTTGCTATCCCGCGAGTTTGGCGATAGTCGATGGACCGCCCAAGCAACTCCTACTTCTGCATAGTAAACTAGTAAAAATGAAAAATTGTCGCCCCATGAAAAATGCTTCTCAGATTGTTTATCCGGACATACTTTTACTCATTGGCCAATTTGCCTGTTCCGAATCTTTTAAGGTAACATCGGCCATATTCTGGAGAAAACAGCAAGTTAGATACCAAGACAGATACTGCACAATTCTGTAGATGAAGTTGGGGGTAAAAAGCCGTACTTTTCTAACCAGAAAGACATGTACGATTTAATTAGGGACCGCAGGATTACAAAATCAAATGCTGAGCTTCGGATATCCAGACTCAAACAGTTTAACTTCGTTGATGAATGCGTACAAGTCACAAATCAGAGGTTTTACAAAATGTTCTTGCAGTTTTGTTGCAGAAGTATTGTTGCAATTGTTTAGGATTTTTTAGGTAATCACAAAGCTGAAAACTATATGGAGTTAATGCAGACTCTCATAATGTATTATGCTAAAATAAGATGCAGAATATCTTTGAAAGTCCATATGCTTGACTTGCACTCAACAAATTCAAGAAGAACATGGGCCTTACTCCGAGGAGCAAGGCAAGCGCTTTCATCAAGCGCTTTTTTCAAGGCAAGCGCTTTCATCAAGCGCTTTTTTCAAAGCAAGCGTTTTCATCATGCGCTTTTTTTAAGACAAGCTCTTTCATTGGATTTTGAACGTTGTTAACAAAGACAGTATAACGAAAACATGATGGTGAATACATTTGGAGGCTACTTTGAGAGAAAAATTAAACCTGTAAACAATTTCTGTCTATATGTTCAAGTGGCAGTGAAACGGACGATAGAAAAGTAGAAGTATTCAGTAGGCAATTTTTTTTTTTTAGTATTTTTAAATGATCTGAATAAATGGTTTGTTAAAGACCCGTTTTTTACGGATCCAGAAAGGTAGGGTATACATGTGGAATAGGCTTACAAAGAACCGTATTATTACGGGTCCGGTCAGCTAATATTACTTTATTTTGACATGAATTAAAGCAACAACATTGAAAGATGTTTAGAGAAAACTCATAGCGGCAAAACTATATGATAAATATAATCTAAACACCAATTTCTAGTACAGTGGTGATAAAAATATAATACAGATTATTATAAAAAATTATAATAAAATTATATATATTACATATCATACAATATAAATTATAAATATAATAATATAACTAAAGTTATTCACCAGGTGATTTATCAACAAACACAGGAGGTTTTTTTTATCAAAGAAATCAAAATTTTACTGTTAAAAAAAATATTATTTTAATAAATAATTTCTAGATTAATTTCCTTTTAAATTGAATAAGTTTTCTAGATTAGACCAATTTTTTTTTGTACAATATATATATATATATATATATATATATATATATATATATATATATATATATATATATATATATATATATATATATATATTAACTTGTATATATAGTCCATCGGACTTTTTGCAACCATGAGCTCAATGAATCGTTGCGATAAAACAATCCCTCAGCGTTTCCTAAATAGAATAAAATTGTATGACAGAAATTTGTTATCAATAATTTATTACAAATAATTATAATTTTATGCAACAAAAATAGATATAAAACAAACTCTCAAAAATAGCTTTTAGATTTTTAAATTGCATAGATAAGGGAAGATTGCGTAAGTTGAGCATTTTAACAGGGTAATGTTTTTTGCAGCCAAAATATTATCATATTTATATTTATATTCAACAGCTTATGTATTATCTCATACAACCCATAGATTTAGGAGTAGATAAGCATAAAATATTAAGGATATGATAAATTTTTTGATGATCTTGCTTCGTTCTGACGCAACTATTGAATAATAATAAATTATTAAAGAATATTAACTATACAGCCAAGAAATTAAAATAAATAACACCGCCGAACTTGTATGAAAATACTTAATCAAGAATATTCGCCAAAAAATTAGTAGTTTACCCGTAACAGAGGTTATACCACCTTAGGAACCTGATTATCTTATGCAACCTTCCCTTATATCAGAAAAATAGTGTACAAATATTTGATTTTATTTATAATAATAATTTAAAAAAATTGATACTAGGAATCAAAAAACTGTTCCATCCTAGTATTACTTAATATATCATCTTCTATATTAAGGCGAGTTTCCACTCATCCGTTTTTTCACGGGAACGGGAAAGGGACGGGAAAAATAATCACGTGGGCATGCGTAGTATAAGTTTTAATATGTCCAAAGAAAAACTACGCATGCTCACGTGATTATTTTTTCCTTCCCTATCCCGTTCCCGTGAAAAAACGAATGAGTGGAAACGCACCCAAACTTAATAGTTTTAGTAGTAGTAGTAGTGTCCCTTGGAGCGTATTTGACACGAAACGCTTAGCAGCCATTGCAACCGAGGTAATCGCAAGTGAGAGTTGCAGCACCTTTTTTTTAAGAAAACGTGAACAAACGTGTATTCAAATTTCTAACGTATGTAAACTTTAAATTAAGTAATGTTAAAACATACTGAAACATATGTCAAGTTTTACAGTTTGATTTTCACTTAAAAATTGTATTGCGTCAAGTTCTCCTTAACATTGATGTACAGCATATCTTTCCGTGAAAAACCTCATTACATACTTTTAGAAATTTTCGTTTAACAACGTGTTAGCGTAGCCGAGTGGATAACGCGTTTTGTATGTACATGTACATGTAGAACATGTAAGCCCTGGTTCGAGTCCTGCCATTGAAAACTTTTTTTTTTTAATTTTTTCGAATATTTTAAAATACAAAACACTTTTGAAGTTTTATAGAGTGTTTATAAAATCATATGTAACGATATTATACACTTAAATGAACGAAAAGATTTTAAAAAAGATAATATTTTTAAAAACATCAAAACACCGCACAGTGAATCGACTCACACAATCTAGCTGGACAAAAATGTTTTGTTCACGAATTCGATTTTTCTAGTCATGAAGGGTTGAAATAAATAATATTTTGTTGTTTTATTGAATAATTAAATTGAGTTTAATAAATTATACGTTTTTATTTGCGGAGGATAAGGGACCCTACCCCTAACTACTACCCCCCAAATACCCCTCATTGCAGCAACCACTGTTATAATAAAAATAGAAGTAATAAATATATTTGTAAAGCAAGAATACATAATATTATACAATAAATTTTATAATAAGTTATCAGAAAACTCGTCGTTTATATCCTCTAAACACTCATCTATTGAATCTTCAGATGACTCATCATTTGATTCATCGAACAAGTTACAATTTGCAATTCTTGGAGCCGGAACAATCAAATTCAAAACCTCTACTGGCAATTTTTTGCTTTTTATTGCAGGCAGCTCTCTCAGTTAATTGATAACAGGGTCAGTTATTAAAAGCATATTCAACAAATCCATATTTATAGAAATGCGTGAGTTTTTCCTGGTATGATGTTCTCGAAATCTCCTACAATCTTTATTTCGTGCTTCTTGAGATTCTTCTGAAAGTTGTCCAATCGGAAGAATACACGACCTAATAACTTCCGTGCTATGCATTAAAATTTTGTGGACAGTAACCGGCATGTAAAACCACGAATATAAATGTAAATATAAAGTCCTTGTTTCGAAACAAAGTCTTTCAAATTTGACACAATTAATGTCATGACCAGAAGATTGCGTTCTTAATAAAACACTAAATTTTTTAATTAATTCGACGTTTAATCCTGTAATCTCTCTGCTCTTTTCTAGATTTAAAAAAAACCTGCGAGCTGTGTTGCCATCATTTGTATTGCCATAATGTGGTTTCGGTCTATCCACAATTAGTCCCATTTGTTTTTTAAACTTTTGTCTAATCTCTTCCGAACGTTCTCTCATACGACATTTATCTTCATTGCTTCTAACTTGCCACTTTTTAATGTCTAAACGGTAACTAATGTGTAGCAAGCATTCAAATGTACGTATCCATGCATGCAAAGTAAACAAACCAAATTTGTAATTTTCTTTTTTATCAACCATACCTTTTAATTCGCCATTCATCATTTTTGGAGTAGCACCACTAAAATAACATTTTTGTGTAGAGCGCGTATCGGTTAAAGCATTACAAACGTTTCCGTCTGTCATTGTAAGTAACAGATTGTGCTTCACAGTGAATTTAAATTCGCCAACAGTACACAGTGTTGGAAGAAGTTCAGATATTTCTTTCAAAACTTTGTCTGTTTCTATTACAGTAAATTCCTGTGTTTCTTTTGAAAATATAAATTTAATTGGTCGGCAATAAAGTGTTGACGATGGCCGAGGATTTTGCCAAATAATAGTATTAGAGTCATCACTCAATCTCAACGGGACCAACGCAAACACAAAAAGAAATTCATCATTATCATCGGAGTTCTCAAATCTTTGTTTATAGGTTCTGTGGCCAGAACTTCCGTCACATCCCTATTTGCTTATTAATGTAAGCGACAAATTAGAGGATGCATTTTCGGAAAATTGACTTATTGTTTCAATTAAGCGTTCAATTGTTTTATTCAATATGGCTTGAAGTTTAATTTCAGCTCGTGTTTCTGAGATAGAAATAAATTCTTCAGGAGGGTAACACAACCTTTTAGGTTTACATAAATTATAGTGAGACGGAAATACTTCATGCCCTGCTTTTAACGACCACTTTCTTGTTTGTTTATAAGAGTGACTAGTACACTTTGAATCTACATAATAGGCAAGTGCCTCATCGTTACTTAACTGCCTGGTACCACAAATAACATCAGTAGATTTTCTTTGCTCTAAGGTATTTGTACTTTTTCTAATAGAAGTAGCTATGTTTCTTTGACCCGACAAACGATGTGCTATTTCAGCAGCCGTTGTTAATTCATTGGCACTCCGCGATTGCAATAAGTCTTCAACTCTACGTTTTCTTTAAAAATATATCATTATTTCTATTGGCTGCATTCCACTTTTGCGCAAATTTAGCGGATATGCTTGCAACTTTTAACAGTGTTTTTTTTTTCGAATCACTAGTAACATCTTCTGTAATATAGTCTTTCAATATAAAATCAAACAAAAGAGAATTTCGTTCTTTCGTTGTATGTTTTTTCCATACTTTAAATAACTCCCGTATTTTACGGATCCAGAAAGCTAGGATGTATAGTGAAAAAGTAAAGAAAAGTTCGGTTCGGAAAAGACTTTCAAAGACCCGTATTTTTACGGGTCCGATCTCAGCTAGTATTATATATTGAACAACATGTTAATGCTCATTCGTGAGTTATTGACACGGGACTCACGGTAGCCATTACACCGGAGTTAATAACGAGAAAAAAAATGTGAATGAAAGTGTATGTAAACATCTATCTTATATAAGTTTACTTAAATTTATGTAAAATTTGAAGTTTATTTTAAGTTTTGCACTGTTACTTTTTCAGGTTTTTTTCTTCAGTTTTTTTAGTTAAATTCGCGTAAGGATCAATTTAAAGTTAAGTTGTGTTTGCTACAGGAATAGGGGTCTATAGTAACGTTAATATATAACTTATATAACTGAAGAAATGTAAATGTAGCATAAAATATAAATAATAAAGATACTCATTATTTGTACGTGCGTACAAACAATTGCTTATAATGTACAAAATTGTTTTTCAAATAATATAACTATTTTCTATACTTAATGTAATGGCGTAGCGTTGTGGATGTTATTTTACTTAAAGAATGTGGTGCGGCTGGCAAGGTTACGGGTTCAAACCTTCCGAGGTAAAAGTTATTTTAGTTTCTATGTTTATTCAAAGTAGTTATATATATTTTTTACTATTTTTCTAGTTAACTTATACTTATGTTAAAATCAATTTTTATTTTTTAAAGTTTCATGGAAAAAAGGATCAAGGCGTACATAAATCCACTGGCATAACCGACTGACTTAAACAGGGATGGGCGCAGTGGTGTGTACACATTTAATTTTTTTTTTAAATCTTACCCAATTTCCTAAAATACAAAATAAAACATTTTTAAAGTTCTATAGATAATATATACATAACATATATATAAAATTTGTTGCGCATATGTCAAGATAGAGAATAACTTATGGTATAAATATGCTCAGATAATTAATGAAGTCTGCGCGTTTAACACACATTAAAGAGACAACATACTTACTAACAGAAAAATATTTTTTACATTCAAACCTTTATTTTCTTCAAAATTAATTTACAGAGTGAGGGTCCTAATGAGCTATCGATGGTCTGAAAAAAATTACGGTCTGAAACTTAATAAAGTAAAAAAAAAGTAAGCCCGTCTACGTTTTTTTTTTAGAATTATACAATTTTATAATAGGAGGTTATAATGCATTAAAGTTTAACAAACATTATTCGTATATTCAAAACAAAGATTTTCAAATTATTTATTTTTATCTTACTAAAAATTATTGAAATAAAACGACTATATAAAGAATAAGTATAGAAATAGTCAGTGTGGAATAGACTTACCATTACCCGTATTATACGGGTCATGGTAAGTCCATTATTACAATGTTTTCAAGTATATTTCCACATGTT